GTGGTCAAGTTGCCAAGAACAATTCTCCTCCTTGAAGCTAGTTGATTATTAGCGGTTGAGGATTGTTCCCGGTTAAATCTAAGGCATTTGCGATTTATACTTACGACAAAATAACCCAAATTTGTGATTGTGGACTCATTCTCTAAAACAGGCCTCCCAAACCCTTTTTGTTGTGCCGGCTCCTTCTGCAAAATTTGGTTTGTATGAGAGCAGCAAGAAGTTCAGAAAGTACATAAGTGTAAAATGTGTAAGTATTGTAGCTGTTCTCGCAGTTCCTAGCTCAGGAAGAGACGTGATTCCTCTCGGGTCGTGCTGACTGCCCGCGACTTAGAAGATAGGGGCGCACTCAGGTGCAGAACCATTCACACACAAACAACATAGATCCACAGTTCTCTAAGAACTTTATTATTAATTGCCCTAATACTGTCACAGATTCACGGCAGTAATCAAATTTAAGGTTATCACTTGGGTTCGGCCTGGTTTACTGAAGCCTAATGATTACAACAGTGTCATGTGTCCGGGCTTCCGTGACGAACAATAACGGGTTCAGAATTGGATTTATTAACACCTTCATTTACAGTGTCTCTTAATCACAATCACTTATAGCGCTATCGCTAGTCTACCCACTACACAAATCAATAGACCGTGCTTTGTTCTCGTTCTTGTATTCTTCTATCATGGATGCGTCTTTACACCTCCATTGCCTAGCACTGGGCATGGCGCGGACCACATATAAAACATTATTGTCAGAATTGTTATGTAACCTAGCAACTAGTTGCAGCATGGCCGACAGAGAACACAGCTCCTATTGTTGCTTGTTCGCTGAAACGTGTAATTGTATGCTGAGTCGTTGCCTAGCAATGGTCATATTTGTCACAGTATTAGGAGAAAAACAAACAAGCAAACAAACAAACAAACAAACAAACAAACAGGAGGTCCGAGATAGGCTGAACGCGTGTGTTTCCGGAGAGTTAAATTTTCCGAGTGTTCCAGCCGGTATCTCTGAAGATAGACATCTTCCCTGGAATTCTGGCGAAACACTTCCCACTTGAATTAAAAGTGTTTTCGATAATAGTCACTGTTGTACAGTGATGTATATATGTATAAGTTAATGATCTGTTCTTTAATTACTGTTGAAATACCTGATTTGTTCAAGTAAATATGGCCCAAACATGCATTAACATTTAATCACACACGCCTTAGAATAGGATACTATGCAGACTGCAGTGCATTCCAAGAGTTGCTGCCCTTCAGTGATTAGCCGGTTTGCAAATTAATAATATTATGTTCTGTTTCTCTCATATTTTCCTTGAACACTGAGACAGTAAGTTCAGCACTGTGTCTTATATCCCTCTCTTGAAGCTGCTTAGAAACGAAAGACGCAGTGACCTCCATGCCCTCAGAGTCATTAAATCTTCTTTCAGACTCCTTCAATAGTTTATCAGTACATAAAATGTAGACAGACGCATCAGCTTTATACTCGTACTACCGACGCGACTTTGAACACATGGGAAGTCAGAATTACTGGGTTTTTGGCCTTTGAACCATCGAAAAATCTTCAAGCTGGGTTACTGAACGGGAATTATCAGTTGCGCGGAGAGAAGATTTCTGTTGCTGAGCAACTGAAACTAACGGGTCGGTGTTGATATTCATCCGCGTGATTTAGTACTTTGTGGAAGTTTCGTTTATGCTTGTTCGACCACTGCTTTCGGTCGAATAGGTTGTGATCGAGCGGTCGACTTATGGGGAAGTGCTAGTGTATTCCAGGCGAACTGATGAGTTGGTCGTATCTCGACTGATCGATTCTCGAATGTCGCTTGCTTTCGTTTCTGTGGTCGACCATTGTAACTACCTCACACGTGCTGTGTTCCAAACTCCCAGCCCTTGCAATTGTAACGTGATCTGCATCCGGTACGGTAATTCAATGTCGTAAGACTTGCTGTTGTATGAAAACACAATGCAAGCCGTGTGAGTAATTATGATGCGTGTGCACTTGTTCCTAGCGAAAACATTTTATTGTGAACAGTAACGTATATGTAGCATTTGAGACTATTGTAGAGGTTCCTCTGTAAACCGTATCTTCTGAGATGTCACTCCGTGTAGTCGAAGATCGAGGCAGTCTCTTCTTTCGAAACATCGGTGAAATTCTGCTGGAATACACGGCGCCACATCACAGAAGATTGTGCCCTTTATTTCTCTCAGAATTTGAGAGTGATGTCATAAACAAATCAGTTAAATTTATGGAGCACATTTTCCTTAAGCTGTTCAATAAATGTCCTGTTCGAGTGAAGTCCGAAGCTTCGTGACAGTGGGGTCATATCTTGGGCCAGTTGATATCAGTTCACACCCTCAGAACTTCCACTGGAAACTTGATTTTTTTTATGTTTTTGTTATTCCAGTGATTTTTTCTTCTTTCTTTGCTGTTTCCTTCCGTCCTGTAATTCTTCCTTTCTCCCATTTTGCCTTTTTTATTTCTCCCTTCCTTTATTTCATTTTAATTTTTTTTCTTTCTTCCATTGTCATTTTCTCTCTGTTGCTTCTATGCTACCTTCTTTCTGTCCTTCTTTATCGTCATTCCACTCTTCCATTCTTCCTTTATTTTTCTTTCCATTCTCTCCTCAATTCCGATTTTCTTTATTTCAGTTTTCCTGTCTTCCTTTTTTCATCATTTGATATCCTTATTTGTCCTGTCCTTCCTTATTTACTCTCCTTTTTCTTCCATGATTCATTTCTATAATTTTATTCCTTCCATTCTTCATTCTCCTTCTTTTGATCTTACATTCTCTTTCATTCTTTAATCGAATCTTTCTTTATTCATTTCTTCTGCAATGTTTCGTTTGTTGTAAATCCCCATATTCCCTTGTTCCTCAGAGCGCGGTGACCCACTTGTACAGAAACAGCTAGACGTCTGCACTTTCCCCATAATACACTGCGGTTGTTGGCAGCTGGAGTGAGACTGGTCTGTGTTTTTGTTTTTGAACCAGTTCTCTCGTTTATTGTGTTGTATGACTGTGATGCTGTGATGCTGTGTTGACCAATCATTCTGCCAGCAGAAACTGTTCTGTTTCAACTGATTTGGATAGTGGAACAGGTGAATAGAATAATTTCCACGAAGTTAATAAACTACATGCTTTTTCTATGTCATTTGCACTCAGTACATAAAATAACACCTAATGGAGAGGACATGTTCTCCCATATATTTAATCTCGAAAATTACTCAACAGATTTTTATGAAGTTTGGCATGGGTGGAGTCCACAAAATATTGTTGCTGAAATTTCATGTCTGAAGCTGAAATCAAAGCTGTACCTTACTCCAGCAGGAGACTTGAAATGTTTATCTGGTATGATTTGTAGATGTTTTAGAAATATGGATAAAAGACATTTTGCACCTCTTACAAGTCCAACTGAAACTAGTATCTTAATTATATTAAAGGGGCAAGATGTTCATACATCATACGAAGAGTGCAGTATTGACTATGCCTTCTGCTGATGACCAGTAGTGGCCGAAACATATAAAAGCAAAACTTTTACTTACTGCTTTTAAACTAGTTACACTTAGACTTCTACTGCTCATTTGTGTGAATATTTATAATTTATACCGTCCTTGAAACAGTATTTTATTATTTATTTATTTATTTATTTATATAGTACGCATTACATGTTTCGACCTCAAATGGACCATCCTCTGGTGCGGCAAGGTTGTCACATACTGTTACAATAACAATCCGGACTAAACTTAGACTAGACTTTGTTTCAAATTAATAATAAAATAAGAATACAAATCGTACATGTTATAAAGTCGTATACATAACATTAGGTTAAACCTAATTTAATAATTAGCTGATCCTAAATCCACTATTTGATATTTAAAAAAACTTTATGTATTAAAATATTTCTCGGTATGATGTAAGAATATTTGGTATTTGTGTTGTATAATTTAGGGAGGTTAGTGTCGCTAATTGAGATACTAAAAACTTTACTAGAATGTTGAATGGTGATTCTTATGTAAGATTTGTATCACGTGTTACATTTTGTTGACCTAAGATGAATGATCTTATTTGCCAACAACAAAGTTCAGCCAGTATGATGTAGACGCAGTACTGCCTTACACAAACTAAGTTCGTTATCTGAACGTCTGGCCAAAGTAAACCGATGTAAACATACCCCAGGATAAATGTGGACTGTAAGCTGGACGGCCGGAGTTCAAAATCCGGTAGGATTCGGATGTTTCCCCTTACAGAAACGTTTGGAACGGTTCTGATGGACAGAACGCAGCAGCTTAGTGGTTAGAATTCCTGCGTCAAAAAGTCAGTTTCAATGTAAGTTTCGACAAAATAATCACATATTAGTGGGGCACGCGGTAGCGTACTTGGTTGAGACACTATGCTACAAGCCGGAAAGTCACGGGTTCGAGTCCCAATGAGGTGGATTTTTTTAATTACATAATCCTTCCAGGCACACTATAGTCCTGGAGTCGACTCAGCCTCTTAACAGAAATGAGTACCAATAATCTTCCTGGGGGGTAAAGTGCGGCAGGCGCGTAATGAGAACCTCTTCGTCATCTGTGAGTCGATTGTCTAGAGAAAATGCGGGATCCTCGACGTCTCACAACCCTATGGGCATCCATGGTCTCTTACACGGGTAGCTTTACGGTTTTTTTGCCTTTTTACGTTAGACGTCCTATTTTTCTTTCCAGATTTTCAGTAGATGTAGTCCAACTGGCCGTTAAGGGGCCCATACACGTACGAGCCTGGCTCGCGAGTCCGACTCGGCTCAGGTTCCAATGAGCCAAACTCGTCCGTGTGTGGGTCGCCACATCTCATGCGTGTGGTGAAATTAATCCGAGCCCGGCTCGCCGAGCCGGACTAGCGAGCCAGACTCGGTACATGTATGGGGCGCCTAAGATTCCTAATTTCATCAAAATACATTTTGGTGGAGGGGGGCTGCTTTCCTTTAACCATTTTTGCATCACGTCTTTCATTGGCCGGTACTCATTTCAGATCAGATGCATTTTTAAGAATGCTGATACTTCTGCTTCTCCTAATTCGCTGATTGATTTGCTCCGTATCCTGACACGAGTTTCAGAAGATGGCTACCCGTACACTCGTCATCACCAGCTCTTCTCCGCTATTCCTTGGAATTTTTTCTAATCGTTCTGCTTCATGCAGTGAATACCGGCTCTAAGCATCTAACTATCCTCCAGTGAAGGACAGCAGCTGATCCTCGCTGCCCTAGATCGGAAGGCAACTTGTAAGTGTAGACATCGAAATTCAAGAATACAGCAGAATCTACATTGAAAATCTAGCCAGATGCTGATATGAAGATGCCTTCCTTCCAGGCTGTGACATCGAGTAATCTGATTGATGTTTATGGTAAGCAGAAGGTCACAGTAGCCGCGCGGTCTAACGCATGAATTCTCTTCAACAGCTAGGATGCTGGGATCGTGGGTTCGAATCCCACCCAAGGCATGGATGTTTGGTGTGTGTATGCGTTTATTCTGTATTTGGGGTGTCCTGTGTTTAGATAGCGGCCTTGCGACTGGCTGATCGCTCGTCGAAGGGTGCTACCATCTGTGAAATGATTACGGAACTGAAGATGAGGCCAGGGCCCTGAATGAACTGGAGAGCCATTGGGGGGGGGGGAAATAAAAATATTATAAGGATTTAACAGACTACAAGGCACCACATCCCAGAAGACAATAATCTCCATAGTCACCTACGTCACAATCTGTTTTAGCCGACTTTCCTAAAATTTGTTTATGCGACCTCCAGACTGTCTGTGTATCTCTCTCTCGTTGCTAGATGAACGTAAGCGATTAGTTCTTCCCAGAACCTCTTATTTTATTGTTATACCTTAAAGTTAAAAAAGTAAAGCTATCCCTGTAAAAAGCCATGATGGCCCATAGGGTTGTGAGAGGACGAGGCTCCCACATTTTTTAGACAATCGGCTCACAGATGGAGGTGAGGTTGTCAGCCTTACGCGCGGGCTGCCCTTTACGCCCAGGAATATTCCTGGTACTCATTTCTGTTAGAGGCTGAGTCGACCCCAGGGCCATAGTGCGCCTGGAAGGGTTAGGTAAATTGAAAAATTCAGTGACCTCGTCGGGAATCGAACCCACCACCTTCCGGCTTGTAAAATACTATCACACAATGATATTCTCGCTAAAAGAAAATATCGCGACGATTAAAAAAACATTTTGTCAGACATTGTCCATTTTCTAAGAATATTTAACATATACGACGTTTCGGTAGTACTGTACTCCCGTCTTGGTGTGATTCAGCTAAATAAGTAAAGCTCATGCTCCGGAATGAACGGCCTGGATTCAGAACCCGAACGAAGCGCAGGGACTATTTCCTTCATCAACAAACGCTAATTTCCAAATTCACAAATCACCACAGCACCCGCAGAGTCTTTTCCAGTCTGCCGTGTCTTCACCAGGCGTTCCCTGATAACGGCTTCTAACAGTGGAGATTCTTCAGCTCCAAATGCTCTGGTCCTATCTGAACGGCGGCTCACTTCCAACTGCATCTTTTGCTCACAGGCTACCGTAGAGAACTGACTCGGTTGCCCAAACTGTCTTCCTTATAGCCCCTTTGCACGGACCGAGTAGAAGACACCGTTTCCAACAGTACCTCTATTGTTGCATGCCGCGGGAATGTTTACCGAGTGGTTTCCTAGAAACGAATGTTGTTTCAGAGCCGTTCGCTAGCAACGGCTCTTTCGTTAGCGCCATAGTTCTTGCTTTGAGCAAATATGCCACCATATAGTTTGAATGCAGGGACACAGATCCAAGCCACTGCTATGAGAACCTCAGTGTAGTACAGTGATAGAAATTTAGATGTTCTACTAAGTAGGAAACGCGCCCGTTTAGGAGGCCGTGAAGATTTCATCCGGGGTTCCCCAAAAATACTGATCGTCTAATTATCATATTGTCACGTGTAGTATGTGTGCCCATAAACGGGGTTTGGAATAGTGAATGGATTTAGTGGCCACTTATACACAAGACTCGGAACTACGAACAATTACAGTTCCACCACTGACTTCTACAATTCACAGTTCACGGTTACACATACTAGTACCCTATGTCTGTTAGTCTCCACTAGTCGTTTCCTGACAACGGATTTTAATACAGGAAGTATAACAGTCTCACTGAATTTCACACCCGAAATATCACACATAGTCTTCTCTTCACAGCCAGACTTTCAACTGAGCAGTCTTGCAACTAATTCTTTCCTTCACAGCCTCCCGTACAGAACTGAAATATCAACTTACTTCGCACCTTGCTTATAACATCTCGGCACGGACCAGACACCTGCTGCATTATTAAGAATCTGCTGCCTAGCCGTGTTTACCGAGCTGTTGCCCAGTACTGGTCGTTGTTTACAAAGTCACCACTTAGCAACGGTTATATACACCACAATATACTCATATGTATTAATACGAAAGGGTCACATTAAATTATGCACATGTAATTCAATAAAAAGTACCTCTTAGAGATAGTTACAAGTAATTTATATCATATTTTCAAATTTCTAAATCATACAAGTATTTAAGTCATTTTTATAGGTTGTGGGGAAGCATTTTTATTCAAATCAGGTGAGGCTGAGGCGGTCCGTTGTAGAAGGTGGGAGGTTCTGAGTTTCGTGCGCTACGCTTTTCATTTGTCTCACACAGTGCCTTGTCAATGTTTATACCGTAAATCGTTAATTTCTCTTCCAGAAACAACAATATGGCCTCCTTGTATGCTAAGCGGCAAGAACACTCCTCTTTAAAAGTTCCTCTGAGAGGAAGTGGCGTGACACGCCGTGCGTCAGTATGTTATTTCTAGCACCCTTAATGGCGGCAGATTGCAACATCTGGTGTTGGCAAGATGTCTTATGCACACCAAACCGTGGAATTTTCCATCTAAAAGTATCTGCCTCAGCCGTCTCTACTAGTATTTTATTTTTACCGGAACGTTGATAATAACGTGTCTGCAAGTCTAGGAAATTTTTTTCTTCATATCTGGTACCTGAGAAAGAACTGTGTATCTTTCGGCTTACTGAAGTCTCGGGCCGCGCCATAGCTCAAGCGGTTAGTCGCTGGCTTCCCACCGCGGCGGCCCGGGTTCGATCCCGGGTCTGGTCAAGTGGGATTTGTGGTAGACAAAGTGGTGCTGGGGCAGGTTTTCTCCGAGTACTTCGGTTTCCCCTGCCAATCTTCATTCCACCAATTGCTCCACAATCACCCTCACCTATCATCTGGGGCTGGTACAATAGGCTAGAAGTGGCCGCAGTGCAAGGGACTTAGTCCCACTCCACTAGCAATAAAAAAAATACTGAAGTCTCGGATATACTCTTATACTCTTACTCCTTCCAGGAAAATTACAGGATATCTCAAATTACGCCACTACAGACGGGGCGTGAAGCTGATCATTCACCTCCATCTAAGTCAGAGATCAAGAATGTTGGGGTTATTCCTCCGCTCCCTCCTGCGTTTAAATAATGTGCTGCTTAATCAAGTAAGCACAGGAACAACTTTACCTTTTAAACTGAAACTAGTACAGAGTGATTCTAAATTACTGTAGGGGTCTCCATGGTCTATATAGGGACACTCCGACAATAATTTAGAATCACTCTGTATGTTGTTATGCGTCTAATTTAGCTGCGTACGATTTGATGCTATTTCTACTTGTTACTCGTTATATTTTAATTATATGGAAATAAAAATTCAAATAAAAGTTACATATGTTAATGAGATCTGTGATTCACATTGTAACAGATATTTGTTATGCCAATTTTTAGAATGTTTATGTAGTTAGATTTCAGCTTAGTATATAAAGTATGGGGTATTTCGGATCGGTACGGACAACGGTGAAATTCACCCAACACTGTTTAAATGTAGACTACCAATACGAACTTCCATCGAATTCCGTTCAGTAGTTTCGGAGGTGAAACACGCAGATAGCCGAACAGAAAGTTTAGCAATGACCTCTCAATTATACGTTCATTTAAATCATTGTATATAAATAATATGTAAAAAGGCAGAGATCAGCTTCCGTTGTATCTGAACATCACCGACTGCGTAAGCTTTCTTGTTGCTTACATTCGCTGATCTATTTCCTGTTAACCTCAACACTGGAGGTAGACTGGACGCAAGAAACACGTACGTGTAGGCTACATGTAACGCTGGAGCGAATGGAGCACTGTAGAAAAGGAGATTAAGGCCTTGTGGGTTCAATAGACTGCAAGACACCACATCAAAAAGTACAGTAATATTTGTAGTCACCGTCATAAAACAAACTCCGTGGCCTGTAGTCCACAAGCGAACTATACCCACCGAGCGACCGCCGCTTGTCGGCGAAGTTTATTACTTACTTACTTACCCATGGACATGAGCCCTTCTGGAGGAGCCGCCAATTCTGAAGCTACTCAAGAAATTCCCAGCATTATATGGAACCCGAAGGTTCATCACCGTGCTCACGAGAGCTCTCCACTGGTCCCAGATCTATCCAATCCATACCATCCCATCCTATCTCTCTAAGATCCATTCTAATATTGCCCACCCACCTACGCCTTGGTCTTCCCTGTGGTCTCTTTCCTTCTGGCTTTTCCACCAATATCCTATACGCATTCCTCGTCTCCCCCATTCGTGCTACATGACCTGCCCACCTCATCCTCCTTGACTTGATCATTATAATTATACTTGGAGAAGAGTACAAGTTATGAAGCTCCTCATTATGCAATTTTCTCCAACTTCCTGTGATTTCATCTCTCTTTGGTCCAAATATTCTCAACACCCTGTTCTCAGACACCCTCAGTCTATGTTCCTCCCTTAATGTCAGAGACCAAGTTTCACGCCATACAGAACCACAGGCAAAATATAGCGGATAGAGTGTGTCACGTGGTCATCGCAACGGATCCCAAGGCCATTAATTTCGGTTTTCTAGACCGAAAGTCACCGTAATGGGAACCTCATATCTCGCGTAAAATTGGTTACGTTTACTATGCGTTTCGAAAACATTATCTTATATCTAATGACAATGAGCATTATGTAGCAACAAAACAGTATTTTCTAGTGAGTAATAGCAGATGTTGGTAGACGCCGCATGCAGACGCAGAAGGCTCTGTCGCTTTCATTATTGTTATAATTGTTCGAAATGAGCGAGGTAGACGAAAGTGAAAACAATTAATTCCAATTTTATCTTTCGTGCTTCCAGTTCTGTGTGAGCTATGCAAGGGATGCAACCCCACCTCATTTCATGGATGTGACCACAAAATAATGGCGATTGCTTCTGATATGTTACCTTATTTATTCAGTAAAAAACTACGAAGTAAAGCGATCCCTGTAACAGGCCATGAAGGCCCATAGGCTTGTGAGACGTACAGAGTCCCACATTATCTAGACAATCGGCTCAAAGATGGCGGTAAGGTTGTCACCCTTATGCGCCGGCCGCGCTTTATTCCCAAGGAAAATTATTTAATTAATTCGTCGTACTCATTTCTGTTAGAGGCCGAGTCGACCCCAGGGTCATAGTGCGGCTGGAAGGATTAGGTCAATTGAAAAAAAAAATCCAGTGACCTCATCGGGACTTGAACCCGCGACTTGCCGACTTGTAGCATAGTGCCTCAACCAACTACGCTACAGATTAATGACCGAATGTTTTGTAAATAAAAATTCAACATAAAGATAGCTAACAGATATTTTGAAAATGTGGCACAGGTCAAATATTTTGGAAGGATTATAAAGAATTAAAAAACCTGATACAGAAGGACATTAAGAGGATATTGAAGCTACCATTCAGTTCAGAAGCTTTTGTTTCCCCTCTGATGTCTAAAAATATATAAATTAGAACATACAAAACTATAATTTTTCCCGTGGTTCTGTGTGGGTGTGAAATTTGGTCTCTTGACATTAAGGGAGAAATATAGACTAAGGGTGTTTGAGAACAGGATGTTGAGGAGAATATTTGGACTGAAGAGAGATGAAGTGATAGGAGGTTGGAGAAAACTGCATAATGAGGAGCTTCATAGCTTATACTCTTCGCCAAGTATATTTAGAAAGATCAAGTGAAGGAAGTTGGGATGGGCAGGGCATACAGCACGAATTTGGAGAAGAGGAATACATATAGGATATTGGTGGGAAGGCCAGTAGCAAAGAGACCACTAGGAAGACCGAGACATAGGTGGGGGAACAATATGAAAATGGATCTTAGAGAGATAGGATGGGATGGTATGGACTGAATCGAACTGGCTTAAGATAGGGATAAGTGGAGGACTCTTGTGAACATGGTAATGAACCTTCGGGTTCCAATAAAATGCTGGGAAGTTCTTGAGTAGCTGCACAATTGGAGGCTTCTCAAAAAGGGCTCAGCTCCATGAGTGAGTGATGTAAGAATTCAGTGTGTACCACACAGGAAACAGATTAAATCTCCACTACAAAGACCAACCTGTTAATGGTGTTTATGGAAATCGTCATTCCTGTGAGAACAATATAAAACAGACAAACTCGGTGGACATAATGCAGAGTTTATGTACGTTAAAGCGAGTGCTTTAAAGGGTTAATATATTCTAATATTTAAATGCTACTTCTTTGTTATAACTTTCTCTACGTGTGTTGACTTTACTTGGTTATTTTGGGGGAACTCACATTGATACTCGTATTACAGAATGCAAATCTTCAAACGTTTTCATATATATATTTTATATACTTTCTTGGAAGAGAGAAACCCGGAAACCCTATCAGTGCTCTTGGTCTCGTGATATAGATTCAAACCGTGGACCTCCAGAATACGAAATAAAGGAATGATACCAAATCGACAGTCACCTTCTTTGTTTTATGTTTTCTTTGTATTTGAACTTCTCATATTTGTTGACTATGTTCATTTTGATGACTTTAACGTTAAAATTGTAAACACTGAAGCATCAGTAACGTTTGTAATAATTAATCGCAGGTTATTTGGTCAGTCAGCGATTGAAAATTAAAATGTCATATTCTCCTGAATGTTGATAGGATATTCTTGTACCAGAAATTACTTTCTCGAGCCATTGCATTTCCTCTCTGTCACAGTCACGTGTCATAACATCGCAAAGGCCGAATGCTTTTGTACCAGAACCAAGAAGTTCTACTGATGTGCCTACATGAGACTTAAGCAGCTTTTGTTTTCTGTTGCAGCTGAAATTCTCATGATGTCCTATGGCAGTAGCTACAAGACGTGACGGATGTGATGTGGCAATCTTGCTGACATCGCCAGTAGCCGACAAGCATGCCGATATTTATGATACAAGACATGACGGAAATGAAGTGGCAGTCTTGCGGACATCGCCAGTAGCCGATAAGCATGCTGAGACTTCTGGTCCTCACACTACTCCTGTCCCTACTCTGCCACAAGAGTTGTGTCGGAAGGGCAATCAACACAGTTGACACATCTCAAGGACTCGGCTGGCAGTCCTGGTTGCTTGTAGACCCAGGTACACCGAGACCGCACAACGAGGAAGTGAAGAAGAGACGAATAACACCGAAATCCGTCTTCATAGCACCAGCTTTTTCTGGGACTTCCCATCTTCCAGACTGCGCCGAAGGATATAGGCCCGATTCAATGGGTCGATGTGTTAAGTTGGTACAACTGAACCATGCAGCACAGTTGGATTTCCTTCTGCAAAGACTTAATGCAATGTATGCAACTCCTGTGATTCATCGTGGCCATGAGGATCATTCTGCCTCTGATTCCAGTTCAACAGGACCTCTTCAGGTGTCAATACCGATCGATATCCCACCGGAACCGGAAGAAGTAACAAAAGAATCAGTAGAAGTCGCTGTTGTAATGGCGGATGTTTTGAAAGACAGCAGACCCAAGAACAGCAATAAAACAGATAAAACACAAGAGTCACAGACTATCGTAGCTGTACTGAATGTTGGCAAGAACGGAACTTCTCTTGAGGACATGGATGAGGAACAGTTCATTTCAACACCAACCTCGGTTCTCCTGTCGGAAGAGAGTGACCAGACGTTAACAGAGCCGACTAAGGCACCTGATTCAGCCATGGGGTTATCAGAGGAAGTTGGCAACATGAGTCCCGAAGATGGACGATCAAGAAATACAAGTCGAAGGAACGTGTCTGTAGACGAAAAGGTGAGAAAAGAAGCAACAACTGAAACAGTTACGATAATTGCAGAACCATTTGTAGTTGGTGCGACTGATACTAAAGACAATAGGAACACGACCAGTGAATGTTTATCGCAGACGAGTGTTCAGGTTAGAAATAAATCAAAAACAAACGCGCTGTCCACATCAACATATAAACCAAGTACGTTTGTGAGATTTCCAGCTGAAAAGAGTTCTGTTGCTGGTAATAATGTGGTGTTATCGAACACAGTTTATGCTGATGATATGAGACATGCTATAAATTTCTCACAGACACACTTTGATTATTCGAGGCCATGGCCTATGTTACCTAGTGACGTTCACCAAAGGCAGACATATTGGTGGTTACCTGCAGGATGGCGATTAGACCCAACAAGGCATCAACCAATGTTGATTCGATTTTGGGCTCGGATGCCTTTATTACGCGACGACTACAGTGGTACCACTTATAGCCACCAGGATACGCATAAAAGCCGGAGACGCGGCCCTCTGGTATACTAGAAATTTGTGTTCTAGGGTTCTATACAAGAAATTGAATGGATTCACGAGAAGACTTCCTCTAGGGATATTAATTTCTGTAGACGAAATTAAGACAATGAGCATATACTCATGTATATATGAAACATATAGGTGTTCTTTACCATTAGCTTTCTCGAACTACGGCAGCTAGTGAGTAAACTATAAATTCTGTTAAGACAGAAATGAAAAAAAGAAAAAGCTGTAATGTTTGATCATCATTAAAGAATGACTTTTTATATGAACATTGTAAATTATATCTCAGTGTCGTCTACAGTGTCCGACTCTAGTCTAACTGAATGTGGTGGGAAGTGAAAACAGCGTGGAGGGAAAATGCAAGTATCTGCCATGCATCGCAATCTGATGAGGACCCCAGACAGGGCTGGATACCAAGACAACGCGGGTCGGTCAAGGGATTGGGCACGATGCATACAGAACCCAAAACACTAGGATTACCAATTGCCAAATAATGGCCACTGATCTTCCTTTTTTTTTTTTTTTTTGCTTTTCTCAAAACCAAATTTGGCTCTGTCCCGCTTAGGTTTTCATAAGAAAATAAGTGCGTTTTTTTTTTCTCCCATATTTCGAGAGTAATTTGCAGGTTATATTCCGACCGTTGTTCAAATTCATGTTACTGATTGTAACAAAACCGGGGTTATCTCAGTGTGAAGGGGAAAACTCTTTACCCCTTTTCCTACTAATTTTACACAGTGTTGCCCTTTCTTCCTAGCGAAAATTATTCAATAGTGCTGACTGCTTAGCTTTCCAAAAGGCTGTTGTTTCCGAACAGAAACTGGTTAATTGAATTATCGACTGAGGGTAGACGCCTTGTTCTGGGGTAAGAGAGATTCTGTATGAAAGTGCATCAGAACACGCTTCATCGGCCATGAATATCGGATTTCGTCAGAGAAGAGCCGCTAACAATAATATTGTTATTTAGTGATTGTGAAACTTTGAAGTGCTTTAATTGTATGATCAGTTGTGGTACGGTTTCGCAGAGATTCAAGTGATCAGTTATACGTATCAGCATGGAGACGCAGAAGTATGTGAACTGATGTTCTTAATGTATCCAAGGCGGAGCTTGGACTGATGATCACTTCATCACAATTTAAACAGATATAATTACTTGAACGCCGCGTTCCGAGATGAACGATATTATTGTTTATTAGTTCTGTAGGCGTGTAAACTATTTAATTGTCTATATAATAAAATATGTAACTGTAAAAAGGATAGTTTTCCCTGTACCAGGCCGTGAAGGCCCATAGGGTTGTGAGACGTTGTGGGTCCCACATTATCTAGACCAGCCGTGTCAAATATGCGGCCCCCATAGCCACAAAGTGCGGCCCCTCAACTTTTAGAGCTAATTGATATTAAAATCAATATTAAAATTTTAGTAGAAATATTTTTTTGTAAAGAAAATTTTCCAACAGACCAGAAGACAAGAAGTCTCACGCAGACATAAATTAGCAGGCTGCAGGAAATTCAATGTTTTGCTATTTCTAACATAATTTCTTGTGTAATCTCTCTTTTTACATATTGAAAAGCTGATTGATACTTGTCAAAAATGGCATTTTCTTGCTTTTTAAAACTAAGATATGTGACTTTAGGTAATTATATTGAAATTATTCCTAAATAATAAATAGAATTAAATTTCCTTGTATCAAAATCTAATGTATATTTCTATTTTGAAGTGCGGCCCTGGACTATTATTTACAGGGCTGAGGTGGCCCTCTGTACAAGTTGAGTTTGACATGCCTGATCTAGACAATCGGCTCAAAGATGGCGGTAAGGTTGTCAGCCTTAGGCGCCGGCCGCGCTTTGCTCCCCAGGAAAGTTAATTAATTAATTCCTGGTACTCATTTATGTTAGAGGCTGAGTCGATCCCACGGCCATAGTGCGGCTGGAAGAATTAGGTCAATTGAAAAAAAAAATCCAGTGACCTCATCGGGACTTGAACCCGCGACCTTCCGGCTTGTAGCATAGCCCCCTCAACCAACTACGCCACAGCGTGCCCCCGTATATAACTGTGCATAGATTTAATTTAGAAATTAAGTGTTCTTTGCTCTAACAGTTCTGGATCATTTTCGGAGTATCGAAATAATTGAATGAACAGTGCCATGAAACAAGCAACAGGCTTGCGAAATAGCAACACATGTGTGAAATATTTTCATATATTTGTCGGGCATGTGAAGGAACTCGTTTCTTGCGTAAAGTAATGTTTCAAGCATTTTTTCCGTGCTTTAATCTTTGCAACCATACTCCTTATAACTGAGTGGAATTCAACAAGATCCATTTATCTGTGTAGTTGTTCTCTGATTTCAAGCACATGCAATACATTTGATTATGGTGTAACCGCTTAAGCCTCATTAGCACATCAACGAACTCATACAGTGTATTAAACCTTACAAAAATGAATATGCTTGCTATTTAGTCACATGAATTTATACATCAGTTTTTGGTTAAAATTCTTAGTTCTGACGCTTCTGACGAACCAATTGTGGGACAGTCATAGGGGGAAACGTGCTATGGCGTCGGTTTTAGGGCAGGAGAGAGTTGGAAATGCGACATCAGACTTGGCATTGAGTTTCTGCGCAATGCAGACATTGACGTATCCATACAATAAGGCACTGACCTGGGACTTATAAGCTATAAGCCAAATTCCAAATACAGAATAAATTTTTCCAACCATTCATATCTCAGAAATGTTAACAGAAAAACTGTATTTCAGTAAGAAGTTCTGGGAAACACTGCTCATTACTTCTCTCTTCCAAATGCTTCAGTTTGTATAATGCAGACTTCAAGAAGCAGAAAACATTAATTACGAAATTTTGTGATTGTTTTAGGCCATTTATACAAATTTCACGAGTGTAGCGGCTCTGTGATATAGTGGTCAGAGTTCCTGCTTACAGATCCAGAGGTCCCGGGTTCGATTCCCAGTTCTACCAGATTAGATGTAGATTAGATTAGAAGTAGATGGTCTGGAACGGGGTCCACTCAGCCTCATAAGGATAGTTGATGAGCTATTTCAAGGAAATAGCGGCTCCGGTCTAGAAAACCGAGATTAACGGCCGCGGGGATCCGTTGCGCTGACCACGTGATATCCTCTATCCACAAAAGTTGGCACTAACTTCGCCTACAAGTGGCGGTCGCTCGGTCGGCATAGTTCGCTTGTGGACCACAGGCCACGGAGTTTGTTTTGTAGCTTCCAACAATACCAAGCAGATTGGCTGGAACCGTTAATTGCTCTTACTTCTATTCGAAAAATGCCCTGTTCGAATCGGGTCGAGGCACCGACTATGCTGAAAGGGGTGGGGGTGGGGGAGGGCCGTGAATTTTCTCAGTCCCTACAAGTAAATGCCGGGGCAGAATCTCAAGTTTGGCCATACCTCAATAATCCCACGACTTCATGCTGTACCCGTACTCCGAGATTATGGGAGAGACATAAAGTAAAACGTAAATAAATAAACAAGTAAATAATATTCGAATCACGCAGATCTTCCTTAATACGGCCTCCAAATTTTGTAGTTGTTCGCGACGGTTATAATGGTTAACGTATAAAACATAATTCCAACAGGAATTTAGAAGCCTTTTTATGTTTACGCCAATACAAAATTACGTGTCTCATCGTTTGCCTTGGGGTCAGATCACTGAATTCTATAGCCAGGGAGATATGAAGTTAACTACGTATATAGAGAATAGGCCAGGAGGGGCCTAGTGTAATTGAAAATATGAGACTAAACGGGGTTTAAGGTGTACCACAGACATATGACTCTTGTAAATGATACACAGCCCCTTAGTTAGTTATTGGAGAGGGTGGGTTTCCCCATGCACTTAGACCTGTATTGGTCCATTGTGCTTCCCTCTATGATTTCTACCAGTCTCTATATCCTACCGGTACTGGTGCTTATCATCAGTCCCGCCCAGCCAGCGAGACCGGTTCTACTAGCTGAGAGGTATCTATAATGGTTCCCCCAACTACCAGAGGTATTAAAGACTGCTGTTGGGCGGGAAACGTCCGCAATTTGGCTCAGTGACCTCCTTAGGAGATATGAGGTTCTTTTACGTGCATACACAGCCCCTTAGTTTATATAATGATGTTTTCTGTACTTCATAGGTTATATAACGCCCAGTATCTTGAATTATTACGAGATACTCTCCAAGGATTTGTGTGTAGGAACTAAGGAAACCACAACTTTCAACAAATTACCCGGCGTTAAATCTTGGAACATAGAACGCTTCAAAATAAACGTCGGGATATCCAGTCACCAGTTCAAGAAGCAAATCGGAGCCTCTGAATATAAAACAGGTAACGCTTATACGACCAAATTCTCTATATCAGAATAAGTAACTTTGTTATATTTTAGCGTCCTGTTGCACTGATTTAAGTCCATGATTTATTTCAACCGTCTTCCAGTGCATACACTCATTTATCTCCTTCTCTCACTCGCACTACATGTTTCGGCATAAAAGTGCCATCTTCAGGTGCTTATTCGATTTACGTTAAACTAGTNTGATAAATATATATTTTAGTTATTTTAATATGAAGACGGCAAGGCATGCAGTGAACTAGTTTAACGTAAATCGAATAAGCACCTGAAGATGGCACTTTTATGCCGAAACATGTAGTGCGAGAGAGAGGAGTGAGATAGATGAGTGTATGCACTGGAAGACGGTTGAAATAAATCATAAGTAACTTTGCTCAGATTAGTAGTCACGACCTCAACGGTAACATGAAGCTTTCTTCCGCGAACCGTCGATAATATTAGTTATCTAATTAAAGCTTCAAAAGTAAAAACTGACAAGAATAAACCACCTTAAATAACATAAATGCAATATAAAAACTCCGTGGCCTGTAGTCCTCAAGCGAACTATACCGACCGAGCGACCGCCGCTTGTCGACGAAGTTAGTGCCAAATTTGTGGAGAGAGAGTGTCACGTGGTGAGCGCAACGGATCCCCACGGCCGTTAATCTTGGTTTCCTAGAGCAGAGACGCTATTTCCTTGAAATAGCTCCTCAATTATCCTCACGAGGCTGAGTGGACCCCGTACCAAATCCACTATTTCTCAAAAAATCTGGTAGCGCCGGAAATGAACCTGGGACCTCTGGGTCTGTAGGAAGGAACTCTGAGCACTAGAACACAGTGGCGGTCCAAATTTAATATAAAATTATGCATAAATATTTTTACGGTTGATTAATAACCATTTCTCTTAAATTGTTAATTAACATTTTGAGCCTTTTGTATAAGATGTGGTAGTAAAATATTATTCACGTCAAATTAGCCTCAGATTAAAAGGATTTATAACTTACTGCTTTAAAACATTTGAAGGGCAAGCCGAACATTGAACAGGCATCCTTCTGAAAGGAAGTACTGTGTGTGTATTCAATGAGATCTCGGTATGGCGGCTTTTGTTCCCGTAATATGTTGAAAATAGAATCCAGTAATTTTATTAATAAAGGTGTAATTATATACATCACTACCTGACGACGAGGCAACCTTGAAGATGTAAATAAATTTTAAAAACAAAAATTCATATGAAGATGAAATGTTAAACTCCAAATTTAATCACTAAATCATTAATCGTCACCTGAATTTTGGAACGTTCTGTGTCCATCCACTCCAACTTCCGAGGAAATACTTTTGAAGTTGAGCAAGCAAGCATAGTTTAATTGTGACCTAGAATTAAATACAGAAATCTCACACTTGCAAATGGAGCACACCCATTAGAGTATGTCGAGATAGGGCAACGTAATACATAGACGAAAAACAGCGCGTTATCACATTTCGCCCAAAATTGGACGTAGAACAATCCAGTACTCAGGCGATGAAATGTACAAATAGAAAAGTAAGGAACGTTGATATGCATGGTTCGTATTTCTCTAAGTCACGATTCTTGTATCACGTCCCTAGCCCCACATTGTGGTAATACTTCAATGTGTGCAAATGTGCTCTTCACACAATGTGTTCCTCACACATTCTGTAATGGAAATCTTCAGACGGCAGTCGATATTTGATGTGTCCGCACATACTAATGAATTCGTAGATTTTCATGAAACTCAACGAGACAGGCATGTCAATGCTACCGAAATACTTTGCTTTTAGCTTCCCTTGACAGTCAGTGTGCGAGCAAAGGACAGCATTTATTAAATGGTAGCACAGTAAACCCTGCACATTCATGAAAATTCCTGTAAACTTAAGCGAATGTAGAATTCGCATGTATTGAGCT